GGGGGGGGGGGAGAGACATCCATTGGTTGCCTCCCCCATGAGCCTGCAACTGAGATAAAATAAATGCCCTTGGCTAGAATTGAACCCAGGACCCTTCAATCCAAGGGCTGACACTCTAACCACTGAGCCAAACCAGCCAGGGCTGCTGGGATGTTTGAAGTGCTGCAAAATAAGGAAAATTAAATAGCAATGGTGGCTTAATAGTATAATCAAAGAGGTTCTTTTTGTTTATTCAACATTTATTATTTACTATATGCCAGGCACCATTAGACAATGAGGACATATACATTAGAAAAAGCACCTGCTCTAAAGAAACTCCAGTAGAAAAGCCAGACTGACAACAGCAACAGCAAAAATGCTCGCATGACAGCACGTGGGTTGTGACAGTTAGACAGTGTGTCAGGAGAACTGGGAACTAAAAGGAAGCTTCCCAGAGCAGGGGAGCTTTGACATGGAAATATGAGTGAGCTGGGTCAGGTGAGGGAAGAGGTGCAACATGAGTTAGGAAGGAGGAAACAGGTCACCAGCAAGACAAAGGAAGCAGCAGGTTCACATACACCTGGACAGGAGAGAGAGGCTGACCTGTTTGGGGCCAATGAGTCCAGAATGGCTGGAGTGTTGGTGTGAGGTGGAGGAGTGGAGAGAGCAGAAGCTGGAGAAGTGACCTTCCTGATCTGAGTGTGCTGTGTACACCATGCTAGTGAGCTAGAATTTCATCCTGGAGGTGCTGGGAATCTCATCAGGATTTTAAGCACTAGAGCAACACAACAAATGGGTGTTTTGAGAAGCACAAGTGGCAGTGGATTTAATAGAATGGGTGTGAGACAAGAGGGATCAGCTAGGAGGCAGGAGCCTCAGGAGGCAGCAGTCTTCAGGGGGAAGAAAAATGGGCCTAAAGCAGTGATGCAGGGGATGGAGATATGGTGCAGATGTGAGAGAAATGCGAAGGGCAGGGCTGATGGGACTTTGTGGCTGACTAGATATGAGCCCAAGAGAGTGGATGAGTCTAGGGTAACTCCTAGGTTTCTGAGGGCTTAATTGATACCATTTACTGAATGAGGTATCCAAGGGAAGCAGGTTTAGGGAGAAAGATGTTCAGATCAATTACCTAGATGTCACTTTTGTGGTGCCTGTGGGACATTTAAGTGGGGGTGAACAGCAGGCAGTGTGGTTGAGAGTTCTGGGTGGAAGATGTACATCTGGAAGCCACAGCATCCATATGGTGGTTGAAGCCATGGGAAGGAATGAGCTCATCCAGCAAATGTGAGAGTAAGGAAAGCAGAAACTCAACCCCTGGGGAATGCCACTGTCTAAGGGGCCGAGAGGGAACACAGGACTGAGAAGTAACAGTTAAAGGCAACAGGAAAACCAGAGGAGCTGGGCCCACAGAGGGTGGAGAGAACATTTGAGAAACTCAGAATCATGGTGCCAGAAACTGCAGAGGTCTGATAATATCAGCTCTGGAAAGGATCCACCTGACCTGGCCACAAAGGTCATTGATCACCAGCAAGAGGGATTTCAGTGGGTGCTCAGGGCAGAGGCCAGGCTGGAGAGGGAATGGGAAGGGGGAGGAAGTGAAGGTAGTAAATGATGGCTCATGAAGAATCTGGCCCTGTAGGGAGGGCGACAGAGTGGTAGGTAGATGGTTATAAGGGAGAGGAGCTGGGTCCAGGGGATGCCAGGATGGCACAGGTCTCTGAGGCATAGGCAAGGGTTGGGTTCAGGGAAGAGGGGTTATTCTTGAGTAAAAGGGACTTTGCTTTCTCTGAGATGGAAGGGAAGTGGGTGTGAAGATGGCTTTCATGCTTGACTTTCTCGTTGAAAGACAACCTCATCCCTCTTCTGACAGAGATGACGGGGCATATGTAGCCTTCAAGGCATGGGAAGAGAGCTGCCTATGCTTGCATCATTTATATTTTTGGATTCCTTCTTTCATTTTTTCATCTTTCTTGGTGATAGCACAGTGCCTAGTACATACCGTTCAATTAATGTCTAATCGAACTGAGTCACACAGTGCTTTGCCATGTGTGGGAGGAGAGGGTTCTGACATTGGACAGGTTGGTGAGGTTTCTACTAGGTTGTAGTTCAGTCATTAGGTACTGGGGACACAGCGATGAACATTATGACATTTTACACATAACGAAGCAGTTATATGCATTCATGCTTAAATAATAGAGGACTGAATGTCCAATGGAGTTTTTTTTTTAGGAGAGAGGGAAAGAAACAGAGAGAAACATCAATGTGAGGAGAAACATCTATCGGTTGCTTCCCGCCAGCACCCTGACCGGGGATCGAACCTGAAACATGGGTATGCACTATGACTGGTAATGGAACCCACCACCTTTGGGGTATACGGGATGATGCTCCAACATAATTGCATTAGGGTGTCTAACCTTTTCCTGAGACTCAGGATGTCTAAACCTAAGCTCACCATCTTTCCTATCTCTCCCCACCCTTTGCCTCCTGTCCTACTCCACCCCTTTCCCTAGATTCCTGGCCCATTTCTGTCAGTTCTAAGACTGAAGACTTAGGAGGACCAGAAGACTGGGGAGTCTTGCCCCATATTGTTCTTCTCTTTGCAGATGTTGCTCTGTGATTTAATTAAAATAGGATGAAGGGATGGATGTCACTGAAGCTACCATATCAGCCAGGACCTGTAACCAGGTAACCTGGTCCTCATGGGGTGTTTCTTTTGCAGATACCGCCATATGAGAATCCAGCTCACCTTGCTCAGCAACAGGAACCCTGGAATCGGCTCAACTCAACTCTCACAGTCACCTCCATGAGGCGGAGTGCTTATTATTTTGAACCTGAGGTACTTAATATTGAAATGCTATTTCTCTTTACATCCAATTAGGACTTATTAATATCCTCTTTGAAAGGTAGTCTGTCCCTGATTGCTTTAGTATCTTTTCCTTTTGTCCACAATCCAAGATCCTACCAAATCTAAAACCAAATACAAATTTATTTGGTTTCTGGGAACTCAGAGGCTTGGGTTGTGCTCCAGTCAATTATCTGGAGCAAATCATTTCCTTACCATACTTCTCACTCTTCTGATTAAAACAAAGATTGAATATAACTGTGAATGAGGTAAGGCCCTTGGAGCCCAAATTGGGGAGAGTATAGTGATTCCCATATGTATGGGGAGAGCTCACTACTTCTTAGACCTAACCATGAGACACAGGTCCATATTGACAAGTCATCGTGTACAACTTGGTGTGTAGGAATTGGTGGACCCAGGCCCAAAAGGGGTTCGCTTTACTTTTGGGGAAGAGCCCAAAAGAACTTGACTAGAGCCGGGGTAGAGGTGGTGCGTTAACCCTGGAGTGCTTGACTTCCTCTGTAGGTACCAAAGGATGACCTGGATTTCCGCTTAGCAGCCTTGTACAACCACCACACGGGGGCGTTCAAGAACAAAAATGAGATCCTGATACACCAGGAGTCCACCCAAGATACCCACGGGTAAGTGGTGGAGGCAGAGCCTCTCCACCCTAGGATAATAACACCAATCAAATAAAGTAATGCACCACCTGGGAAATAGCTATCAATGGGTACTCATTTGTAAAAAGATTCCTGTATTGTTTACCTAGGTACCTGTAAATAATTTCTGCATTTTTTCCTTTTATTATTTTTCCATCACTCTTTATCCCCCATATACCCTCTTCCACCTCCCTCCCCTACGGTCACCACAGTTTTCCATGTCCATGAGTTTTCTTTTTTTCTCAATCCTTTCACACACAACCCAACACTGCCCTCCCATTCCCACCCCCAAGCTGTCTATCTGCTGTAAAAATCTGTCTCTATTTTGCTTATTAGTTCAGTTTATCCATTAGATTTCCACAGTGGCTGTACCAGTCTGCATTCCCAACAGTGCACAAGTTTCCCTTTTCTCCACATTCTCGCCACTTGTTTTTCCTGTATTTTTATTATCTGAAATGAACAGAGAACCTCCAAGATTGTGTTTGTAAAAACAAACAAAATCTTCGGTTAATTCCAGAGGGTAAAAAGGGCCTTGGGCTACTTTATTTTTGAGGTTGCATTTAACTCCTCCCCTCCTCACCTTTCCCCTGCTTGGTTTCATTCTGCTCTGTTCTTCCCCACACCGTCCTCTAGAATCAGCAAGATCCAATCCCCTGGAGAAAGCGTACTCCCTCCCCCACTGCCGCCCATCACTTCCCGAGCCAACATCAGACATTGGACCAGCCCTACGAGGGACTCCATCTACAGCATCCAGGGGTCCATAGGTAAGTTAGGGCAGATGGGTGATGCAAGTTTTTCTAAATGGACCCAGGAATCAGGGAGTTGGGGTGATTGGCTATGGGGGAACAGGGGTGAGGTATAACTGAGGGTCTTGAAAGAGCAGTGATTAAGTTGGCCCATATCAGACTAGTATCAGGGGACATGCTGACTATGGAATGAATTCAATTTGTCTGAGCTTCTAACTCAGCCTTACCTCTAGGGGACAAAAATAGCTACCCCCTATCTGTCCTCTATATGCCAGTTCCTCAGCTGTTACAAGAACCTCCTCTGCAGTGTCCATAAATGTATGGGTGATTACAGGTTCCCAGTGTTGACAAAGGATCTGAAATTCACAGCTCACTCCCTTTTCTCCACAGTGTCCCCTCACACTGCAGCCACCAATGGAGGCTACTCCCGAAAGAACGATGGTGGTTTCTTCTCCACCTAATGGTGACCGGCCCCTGGACTAATTAGTCATAGTGCAACATCCTGCTGCCCACCTCCATTAAAAAAATTTGTGCATGATGAAGCCTGAAGTGTCTCTTGCCCATAGACTACTCTTAAAAGATGGAAGTTTCCCAACTTCTAGAAACTAGTCTTGTTGAGCATATTTGCAAGGATTTAGGATAGAACAGCAAAGTTTCAGGCAAGAGGCAAGTATTCCTATTTTGTAAGCTGGAGTCATTCCAACCCTAGATACATCCATTCAATGTTTCTTGCAAACCTTTGTGTCAGAACTAAGTGTTGGAGAAACAACAATGGACATAGCCCATTGTCTTAAATGAGCTTACAATCACTGTAATTTTAGTAGTTCTATGTAGCATTAATATTGGTCCTGATGTCACTTTTAACAGATTTCTGATCTCCTGGATTTAGTCATCTGCTGGGCTGTACTTTTTGGAGGGAGTAGGGGTGTGGGGGGAATGAGGGGCAGAGTGAAGTGCTCCATCTCCCAGGTCCTACCTCCTTACCATTGTTTTCTCTCTCTCCCTCTCTAAAAATCAGTAAAAACATATCCTCCATACTGAAGATTATTCTGGGACTGAAACAAGTTTAAGATTTTTTCAGTTTATTGAGACCAGTGTTTTGTGGGTACCTATGATGCCTTCACTGTTGTGATCTTTGAGTGAAAAGGAAAAATAAACTCTCTGGTATCTAAAAAAACCCAACCAACCAACATATCGAGTGAGGATGAAAGGGTACCTGTATCCTTCTAAGTTCTCCAAGTTCTCGGGGAGACATACGCATGTAGAGACACGCATATATATGCCTATATCCCTTAGCGGCAGACGCCGTACACCGTGCGCTGCACCAGGGGCAGCAGCGTGGCTTCCAGTCATCCCGACCAGGCGGGTCTAAGGAAGAAATGGGAGGAAGCGAGGGAAGAACAAAGCCTCGGTCCCTTCCAGCTCCCGCGGGCCCGGGGCGCCAGCTCAATCACCCTCCGCCCTCGGGCTCCAGCGCCCCGAGCCTGCCGCCGTCCACTAGCGCGGCAGCCTCACCCCTCGGGCGGCCATGTGCCCCGGGCCGGCTCAGATCAGAATCGCCTCGATAATCAGCGGCCCGGGACAAGCCCGGCCTCATCTATCTGATCAATTCATCACTTCTGAGCGCCCGGCCCGGTAGAACCGGCTCCGGGACCGCGGCGCTGCCGCCGCCCAAGGGGCCTCACTGCACAGCGCCCCGAGGAGGGGGCTTCGCAGGAGGGGAGCTTTTCATCTCGGGTCGGCCCGGCGGGGCTGGGGTCCCAACCCGATCAAATAAGATCAAGGTGTAGACGGGGGGAGGGGCGAAGGGGGGGTCACGCGCTCGCCTTGCACGCCCAAGCACACTCACACTCATGCATCCACTCACACACTCGGCCCACACGCACCACCCACGCGACACCGCAGCACAAGACACAGCACCCTCACCCCACGCCGCGGCTCTCCCTCCCGTAAGGGACCGGAAGTCCGCACCCTCTTTTCAACACTTCCGCCCCTCCCCCTGCCTCGGAGGAATCTGGGAGGAACCAGCGAGCACACGACCCTGTCGAGTGCGCACTTTACTGCCCTCGCGTGGCTCGGAGGGGAAGCCACGTCTTAGGGACAGGTGGGACAAATGTCCACAACACTGAATCGTGATGGTCTTTTGATCTTTGTGCAGTTACTTACATATTTATACACATATATGTAGTTTTCCTTTGACTTTTGATCCAAGTTCTGGATATAAGATGATTCAATCTCAGTAATAGGTGAATGACTCTTTTCCACGGAGAAGGCATTTTCTGGTCTTTACCAACATCACCTTCCCCAGGAGTTCCAAAGGGAAAGGTGATTAGATTGGGTAGTCAGGATACCTGTGAAATGAGTAAAGGGAGGGAGGCATATCCCTGTCTTCACAGAGCCCTCTTGCTCCCCAGAACCCGGTGCTGTGGCAGTAATACTGCTGAACCTTTGTTTACTTTCCATTAAAACACTCAGACTTTCAAACTCCAGAATGAGTCAAGTTAAAAACAGTAATAATTGTATAAGTAAAGTTAGCTCCTTTTACAATGAAAGCACAATTTTAACGTGTTTCTTCTCCCTTTTCAATGAAACATGTATGTGTGTGTGGGGGGAGACAAATCAGAAGACTTGCAGATTAGTAGAAAATTACTTGTAAAGTTATAATCTATACTTTTGCCAGCCTTACCATGCACTTGGAATAACACATAGAGGAAAGTATCCAATTTATGTGTCAGAGTCCCATTGGCTCAAGGGTTTTCTAGGTGTGTGGCTGGTTAACCTAATATCATCTGAATGAAGTTTATGGCTGGTAAGGGCAGATGATACTTGTATTTTTTTTTTAAAACATATCTTTATTGATTTCGGAGAGAGGAAAGGAGAGGGAGAGAGAAACATCAATGATGAGAGAGCCATTTATCAGCTGCCTAGCCCGCAGCCCAGACATGTGCCCTGACCGAGAATCGAACCCTGATCCCCTGGATCCTAGGTCGACGCTCAACCGCTGCGCCACTCCCGGCTGGGCGATAGTTGTATTTTAATAGCAGTAGTAGGTAAAATGTATTGGGGAGTATCATCTACCTTACTTGATACACCTCAAAATTTATTCATATAGATATATATATACTGATATATACAGTGTAAGCTGATATATATATATCAGCTCCCCCCAAAGGAGAAAGTTCTCATAGATTCTGAAATATATCATACATTCAGTAGCATCACAGTGCTCAACAGGAATTATGGTATTAATTTAAACTAAAAAGGTATACTATGGGCAGAGCCCAAGGGAATATTTGTCAGCAGCTGACAAATGAAATGGACAAAACTGGTAGGGAAAGAAATTTATTTTCAAGGATTTGTGCAGACAATGGTGAATAAAAAATTGTATTTCAACTATAAAAAGCTGAATTCATTCCACCCTGGCATATAGGGTTTATGGTGATGCCAGTTTGAATCTAGAACGATATTGCAATCCCCACCCTTCCACCCTAAAAGACTCTCTTAGAGGAAGAACTACAATTTTAAGTCAAAAAAATATGACACATCAAGCAAAGTAAAGAGTTAAACAGGTTTCTGCTTATCTGCTTATATAAAGTCAAATGAAATAAGCTGTGGATTTGTGTTTTTTTGCTGTAAATTGCCTTCACTCTGTGCACTTTTTGGTACATTCTGGAATGAAAACATCTCAAAATATTACACTTCAAGAGTCAAGATGGCCCCACCCAGGAGGCTGTAAAAATTGGTTTGAATAGCTAAAACTGTGAAATGGAACTAGTTCAAAATATGAAACAGCTCTAAGCACCAAACTTAGAGACATTAGCCCTATTAGAAAACAAAAGCCATTAAAGCTACACAATAACAAGTGCAAACATACTGAACCTGTATTTCTAGGGAGTGACTCCCGTTAGCCAACAGGTCCCCAACTCACACCCACGAGGTATAACTCTTCTTTCCCTTTTCCTTTCTCTCATGTGAAAGATCCTCAGAAATGACCATGGAAAACATATGAATCATTAAAATTTTACCCTGTGGACCAATTCCTGAAGAGAGAACAGCCACAACTCTGAGATGATCTGACATGTAGTGTTTACGTGATGGCCTTCTATACTTCGAGAAATCCTCAAAGACTAAACTGCCTATTTCAGAGGCTCAACTTCCTGACAGCTTTTGTCCTTGTAGGGTAAGACAAAAGACAACTTACTGCCACACAGGGTCAACCACTGCTAAGTTGTCCATAGTCAAGTTTTACTCTCATGGACAATTCAACTGGTAGACCTATAGCCAAGCTTGCATTTTACAATAATTTTAGACCAAGCTTTTTTAAATAAAGAAGTTCTAGGCTTCAAAAATATAATATTTGACCCTTTCGCTGATATGAGGAGGAGGGAATGGAGAAGGCTTCCCTTTAAATGTTGAACCACCTTCATTCTAATCATGAATTCTATGAACTGTCCAAATATGCCTATGACTATCAGCAACTTCTCTCACTCATTCGAATTTCTCATGTTCTTATAATACAGACTTTACAAGGGACAGCTAAAGAGGATTTTAGTGTGAAGAAAATTAAGAGTTGGCCAAGAAAAACAAGTAATCAACGAAATATTGCCCTAATAACCCAGATTTAAAACAAAGAATAAATTTGTATCTTGGATAACATGATAAAACTTCCATTTAACATCACAATCAATTTATACTAGATAACTTTACTCATATATGAACCAATATACTAGATTTATTTCTTCTACCCTAGCTGCAAATATATTAAATAATTATTTCTTCAACCATTTCTCTTTTCCCTAGTGGTGGCATTTAAAACTGAGTAACAGTACTTAGCCCTCAGTAATTTAGGAAATATAAAAAGGTTTAAGGAAAATAGAAACAGTGGATTCATTTTCATATACCATTTGTTGGGGTGAAGTCTCCTTTTGGGGATACTGGTAACACAAGACTTTTTCTTGTCTGAGTTACTGCTTTCTGGTCTCATCACAGACAGGTAACTTCCAAATCTTATGTAGGCCCATATTATCTTGGCAACACTCTCCAGCGCCCAGCACACAGCACAGCAATTTCATCTGTTCTCATTTTGCAATGAGGACCATGTTGTCTTATGTTGCCAGATGGATATATGAAAGACAAATTTCCAAAGCCAAAAAAATTTCTTGGCATTGTACAATTCCCGTTTCCCACTCATTCCCCCCACCCTCCTCCATTTTGCCAAATCTGAATCAAAACAGTAAAAAAAAAAAAAAAGTCAAGTCTTCAAAACTATCTCCTTCCAAGAGATCTGAACACAGCTTACGTCCTTCCCTAATGAGCCTCAGTTTGAAAAGATCCTGACAAGGGCTGAGGAACAAAATTGGTGATGGGTTTTTAAGCAGGAGGTATGCAACATTATCACCCAGGGGTGTAATTTATCTGGATACTATATGCTGTCTGCTGAGGACTGATTTAAGGAAAATGGCTTTCTGGAGTCCCCCGAAGCATAAGTAATGTTTGTAACCATGAGTTTTCCCCACGTATGGGAGGGGAAGATGCTGTGGTATCATCCTGGGGACTTGCATGATTTTAGCTGAACTCTCCTATGCTGGTTCCGGGCCTCAACAGGTTCTTCACTCTTGTCCCCTTGGCTGGCAGTTGATGAGATGGATGCTTTGGAATTCATTTTATAAACAGGACATAAAAGGCCATGACGACACAGGTGACTGCCACAGCAGCATGGAGCCTCGTTCCAATCACAGCAGCTAATAGGCAAAAGTAAAAAGAGAAAAGAAATCACATCCAGCCCTTCATAGAAGTCTTCACTTTCAAGGTGGTATTTTGAAATCTCTAGTCACAGATGAAGAGACCTACCAAGGGTCTCAAGAATCCACTCAGGAATATATTTAAATACTACCCTAGGTTCTAGGTGAATATACTGTTTGTTTATATTTTGCCCTATTGTGCAAACAGATTTAGGTAGTTAGGATTCCAGATGAAGGTGCCCGAAATAAAAAGTAAAAAACATCTGAATTAATGAAATCAAAACTTAAAAGACTCCAATATATTCTTTCCAGAAATTCAGAAAAACTTTTCATTGGGAAAATATTCCTCCCAGCAATTCCAGTCCAGTCTAAAATTGTTTAATTTATATACTTTTCCCTCTATGGAGAATATTAAAATTAGATCCTGATGCTAAAATAAACAATTATGTAAAAGTGGAATGAAATACAATCCTAGCCTATCTCACCCCCACTTTGTAGCACCTCACTGTCCAGATATGGCAATCTCCTCTTCCTGTACAGATATGTTCTTACCTTTGTAAAACACGCCCCAAACTCCCTTCTTCTCTGATAGCAGCCAGGTTTTGAGACGAGGGACTTTCTTGAAGTAGGCACAGGTGCAAACAAAGAGCAAACCAAACACCAGAATCCCATCCAAGGAGTACACTGTTACAGGAAGAAAAGGGAACCTTTGGTGCTCATCACTTTGGGACAGATGATCCCACTGGAGAGCGCCAAGGAGCACAGAGTATGATATACTATCAAGATGATAACCTCAACTGCAGTGTCAACACTTGATGTGAGGGAGCCAAGGTCCTGGGACTAGCAAGGTTAGCTTACTGTTCCCAAAAACTGCTTGTAGGCATTCCCCTTACAACAATTTCACTGTGCTCTGCCCTCCCCTCCCCTTTTAAGAATTACAAATCCTGAGAAAAGTGCTTCAGTTTATGTGGACTTGGTCTCCCAGAAATGGCCAGTGTTGGCAAGAGGTTGAGAAAGCCCTAAGAATCCTTGGAGTCTCAGTTGAGAGAATTAAACATATTCTCATTAAAAAATATTCATGTGATAAAAAAGAACTAGATATTTAGCCAAGTCTCTCAGATCTGCGTCTGTTGAAGAAAATGTTAAAGCAAAAAGTGAAGCTTAATGGAAATTGCAAGAGTTAGAATCCATATGACTACAATTTTCCTACACTTACCTTATGACTTCATGCTTACAAACTAAATTTCTGCCAGAATAGCAACAGATTCTTGTAAAAAATATACATCTTTCTGAGGCTTCCACATTTTAACACAGCGGGGAAAACCTTCAAACAATTCTCTTTCTTACATTTGTAAACAGCTATTTCTTATATGTGCAAGCACAATAAGTCACCTAACTGCAAAAAAAGATATCAAACCACAAAAGGGGGGAGAGTAACTAAAGTTGATTCAGTAATTATCTGTCACACTGCTCTCTTATTTCCTGGTTCAGATGATTTCTTGCCCTGGGTGATGTCCCTTCTCCTGTGCCTGGTAACCTCAGATCTCTGACTGCCCAGGAAGGTCCAAAAGGATAATTTACATAACCAGTATCTGCCAGCTCTGGACCCCTCTACTTCCCTCTCTCCTTCCAGTAAAACTCTCACAGCGAGGTGTCACAAAAGAGTTCAGTAAATGAATACATACACTAAGCTGTTACAATGAATGATACCTTTATGGGATAGTCTTTTCCTCCCATAAGTTATTGCAGACAATGCCAAAATTCACAAAGAGGTGAAACTTGAATCTTCGGTGCCAGGCTAAGGAGAAGGTACTTTTGAGAAATGCTTTCCTGTGCCCCTCAAATCATACTACCTAAGAGGCTTTCCCTTCTTTCCTGTAAGGCTGACTCGAAAGCCCACAAAAGCCCTGCTTCCTGCCCTTCCCTGGAATTCAGAAATCATGTCTACACAGTGTTTGAAGAGGCCTGGAAAATTAGGTCAGATAAACAGGGTGGCGACTGTCGAATCATTTAGAAGAGTCAGTATCTAAACCCAACACTAACTGGGGTCGCTAGATGGAACCACCCAAACAAAACTTTATAATCTAACAAGAGAAAGCTTTCTGGCATTTCCCCCCCCAAAAAAAAAACAAAACACTTTTTTAGGTTCTACATTCACCCCTCCAAAGTGCGGGGCTTGAGCTCCTTTGTGATGACTTGGCCCTCATAACGAGCCTCCTGTCGGAAACTATGAGGACGCAGCGGGCTGGGAGGAAGATCCCTCTCTTTTCTCCGGTGCAAAAGCAAAATCCAACCCGGAGTGGCCATTCCAAGAAGCTTTTAAGGGCCAAAACGAACTTCTGGGGAGGGGAGAAGGGAAAGCACCGGGTAGGGACCGAGGCCGCTGGGTGTGGGCGCGAGAGGCACTGTGGTTCCAGACCCGCACTGGCCCTGGGCGCCGGGGAGGGGTCTAGAGAACAGGAGTCCCGGGCACCCGGGGAGGCCGAGAGGGCTGAGCGGGGAGGGGGCGGGGAACACGGCCACGTCAGTCCCGGCCCCGCCCGCCACGTTTCCCTCCGTCCTTCCCTCCCATCCTCCGCTCCGGGATCGGCCCTCACCGTTCGTCATGGCGGCTGGGCCCGGGCCTGGCGAGGGGGTCCGGGATCAGCGGTGGCCGGAGCGAAGGCGGGGGAACCCAGCTCCCGCTGGACACTTCCCGATCCCCGCGGCGGCGACGGGTAGGAGCCGCAGGACGCAGGCGCGAGGGCAGGGGGGCGAGCGCCGAACGCAATCAGGCGTGGCTAGCAGATTGCCGAACAGGGGACGCTGTGGGCGTGGGGCTTGCGTGCTTTCGTCTGGGTGAGAAGCGCGCGGTCCGGGAGGCGTCCTGCGTGGCCATGGTAACCAAGTCTCTTCCGGGTGCCTGTGCGGCAGGTGTGCTGGGGCGTGACTTGAGCTGTTCCCGTCGTGGTGGGCGAAAAGGTAAGGACCTGCAGCTTTGCACTTTATTTTGTGCTGTGGCAGCTGCTGTATGCGTTTGTAGGTTTGTAGCCCGCCTGCAACTGAGTGGCCTCGGTCCCGGGCTTCCTCCCAAGAGCCCTGAGACCATAGAAAGGAACAACCAAACAGCAATTAAGTGAATTACTATCTACAACACCTGGCATGAAGTAAGTGCCCCGTAAATGTTAGCTATTACTCTTGTTGTTCGTTTCTTTAAAAAATATTTACCAGTGTCTACTATACGCTGGACACTTTGCTAGATCTGCAGGAATAAAGACAAAAATGAGTCCCTGGCCTCAGGGAACAAACTTTATAGGAGAAGATATATGAATAAACACATTTTAGCAGAGCATAGGCGTGTGTGTGTAAAGACATTACCTTTAATCTTCACCACTGATTAGCAGAATATTTTTTCAAGAAGAAATCTGAGGCTCAAAGAAGGCACACAGGTGAGATAACATAGCTAGCTAGCTAGGATCCAAACCTAGGTCTATCTGACTTCAAAGCTCCCTCCCCTTATTATCACACTGCTTCAAATTAGGATGCCGTCACTGATACCCATCTTTGATTATTTTGTTTCAAGCATTAGTGTTTCTGTCACCTTGGAAAGCCCCAGAGCCTCACATCAGGCCAAAGCCTGGGTCACTATCTCTTGCAGCCCAACTGTGAAGAATAAATAGAGCCCAACTGGCTGGGGACTCAATTCAGACAGTCCTCCCTCAGTTCATTTCAGCCTCCGCTGGAGGACAGGCAGTTGTTGCCAAATGCCTGTCAGTCAAGGACAGTGGCCTGTTTGTTAGGGTCGTTGCCGTCACTGTGGCAAACACTAATCAGTCCTGGGGACCATGACAATGGCATTCTGGTTTAACCAAAGAGTAAATTCAGTCCCAAAGACACAGCTTGCAACAATAGCTTCATTTGAATTACAACATATTTGAAAGGGTAATGTCAAACAGGCATTAATTTATGCCGCAAATATTTATTCCAGGACTTCTAAGTGTAAGGAATGCGCTAGCCTTTGGGAGCTCAGAGATGAAAGAGAAGCACTTTGTTCTTAATAAGTTTAAGATTTAGTAGACAAGGATAAGCTGGGTGTGTGAAAAACTGGAAAATACAGTAGAAAGTGAGAAGTGTTGCAGGAAGATGTAAATAGTGCTGTGAGAATGTAAAGGAGAAGTGCTTTCTGCTCGGGGAAGGCTTGAGGGAGGAGCAGACCTTTTAGCTGGGCCTGAAAGGCTTGTAGCTTTTCAACAGAAAGAAAAAGAGTAAAAGTACTCAAAGGCATGGAGATGGGAAAGTACAAGATAAGTTTGGGGCGCTGCACACCCTCCCTCCTTCACTGGCTAACTCATTCATCTTTCAGGTCTCAGCTCAGACCTCACCTGCTCAAGGGAGGCTTCTCTGACCTTCATGGGTGTCCTTCCCCCATCATAAGCTTCCAGAGCATACATTATCTATGTAATTCCTGTCCCCCTGCTGCATTGTAAGGCTTAACAGCGCAGGACTGTGTACTTGCATAGTCTGTCATTTTATCCACAGTCCCATAGCAGGTCATGCTGAAACGTAGGTTCTTAAATAAAAACAGCTGACACATGGAATGTTTACTACATACCAGTTACTACCCAGAGCACCTTGTAAGTAGGAACACATCCAAGCCTCATAATAACCTTATGAGGTTAGTAACTTATTTTCCCCATTGCACAGATGAGAAATGGATCTATGGGGAGGTCAACTAATCTGTCTCAAAGTAGCATAGCCAATTTCAAACCCAACTCATTTGGCCTCAGCCTGCATGCTTAACCGAAGGGTATGGACATTATTTGGTAAACAATGGTTAAAACTGCATAAGATTATGGAAATTCTGAAAGCCATTAAAAAAAAATCATACCACCTCAATAAGCCCCAAATGGTATAGCATTGCAGAGGTCTATACCCTGGGGTGCAGGGGAGGGAGTGGGAGCAAAGGGTGGGGCAGGGTGAAGGTGGGACTGCACAGTTTCTGCCCAAATCTGGGCTCTAGCTGGCACTGCCTGCCTGCCCTCTCCCATCATGCCTTAAGCCCACCACCCAGCCTCCCATGGTCTTCTTTTCTGATAGTCCCACCCTTCTGCCTCTCCGCCAACTCCATTCTTCTGCAAACAAGTCTCTTTAAAAGCTCATTCCCCTTCTTTTGCTATAGTGAAACCTGGTTTTTCCTAGCAGTTAACTAAGAGTCTGACAGAAATTCGCAGCCCTATTTATTATCATTTATTCAGAGTCTGCCCTCCTTGATCCTACTGCCCTCTAAGGCTACTTCTCCTCTGGCTTCCATATTCACCACTGCCTTCAAACTACTGTGTCCGGATTATTCTACCACCACTTATTGTCAAATCCAGGTCTTTAATCTCTTAATCTCTTTAGCGCTGAGCACACCAGACCACTTGTTTGCTTTTTGAAATTTTTTCTCTTTTGGCTTCCAAAATATATTCCTCTCCTCCTCCTCTCTCTCTCTTCCTGCTCTTAGTCTTTTTTATCTTTTGTCCCTTGAGACATTCCTCAGTCTTTTCTTTCTCTTGGTGTACCTTTTCTAAGGGTCTGCCCTTTGCCTCCCTTCTCTCTTGCCTTTGTTCCTGTGCAGTCTTTGAACTAGCAATCAGCTTTGTGTCTCGGTCTCCCATGCCAACACCCTGACTGCGACATAAGGATCCTGGAGCCAGAGGCACCCAGCTAAACTGCACCCAGAATTCTGACCCACAGAAACTGTAATAAATGTTTATTGCTTTTGCCACTAAGTTTTGGCATCATTTGTTAACACAGCAATAAATAACTAATACAGTTAACTACCCATGTAATTTTAAAATAATACATAGTACCCTAACTGTAATATTAAGGTAAAATAAAGACAGTAAATTGTAATAATGTGTGTTTCAATATGTAACTGCTCAGGCATGATTGTACTAGAGGGTGTAATGATTTAGGATGCTTGCACTATATATAGAATCACCACCAATGCAGACGGATTCCAGTGAGTGTTGGCTAGTCAAATTATTACCAGTGATATGGCCTTTGGTGACATTATTTCCTGAAATTGTTCACAGCTCTTGATAAGTTCCAAACAAAACAAAGTATGAATTCCATCCAATTTCAAGGTAGTTGCTATTTTGGGGGAAATTCCCAGTTCTTTCCTTCCTGCATGTGTCTTTCTCCTTTACTTTCGTACAGACCACTTCGATTGTGACACTTCTAGTCCCTAAATGTGTGGGTATTCTCTTTTCCCCCACACCAAACAGTTCTGCAACAGTGGCTAGGCGTCCTACAATTTAACTCAATTCTGGCACTGCCTACCTGGAGATAGTGTCAGATCCCACAGGTTAAAGTCTCACTCCCATGAGACTGCCCCCCACTTAAATGCCAGTCGCAGTAGTAGGTCTCCAGAATACCCACAACTTCTGTTCGACTTGGCTACAAATCGGAGGTTCCAGTGACCTCCTCTCCCTTGTATTCTATTATTTGCCAGAACAGCTCACAGAACTCAGGAAAATACTTGTGTTTACCAGTTTATTAAAGGATACAATCAGGGATATAGATGAACAGCCAGGTGAAGACATACATTAGGTGAGGGTTGGGAGGGTCCTGAGTGCAGAGCTTCTAGCCCTGTGGAGTTGGGGTATGTGCCCGCCCAGTATTAAATGTTTTCCCCAACCTGGAGGTTCTCCGAACCTCCTACTATTGGGATTTTTATGCCTCACGTAGGCACATTCCGCTCCATTTCTAGCCCCTCTCCCCTCCCTGGAGAATGGGCTGAAAATGCCAAGCTTCTAATCATGGCTTGGTCTTTCTGATGACCAGCCCTAATCCAGGAGCCATTCCAGTCACCTCATTAGAACAAAAGATGCTCCTAGTGCTCTTATTAGGAATTTACAAGGGCTTTAGGAGCTCTTTGCCAGGAATCTGGGGCAGGGATATGTATGTGTATACATGTATAAACAGTTGGATTCTAGGCTCAGATGATTATAAACAGACTTTTCACTCACTTGAATGTTTAGGACATTCGGAAATAGTGTATTGTGGGACAATTTTTCCATGTATGGCACCCTCTGTTGCATTGCAGAACATTTTATATGCTTAGCTTTAGACTTCTAATGCCTGTGGTTTTTCCAATCGTTGTTCTGACCAAAAAACAAAACAAAACCTCCCCACACAAACGTAAACCCTCCGTCTAAGAGGTGGGACCGCTCCCTTGAGAACTATAGTGAAGAACAATATCCCTATTAACCAGCACAAAGCTTGGCATAAATAACAGTGGAACTCTGAATTGCTGAAATCGTTCCAATACACCCCTGGGGCAGCCCAAGACAATGACCCACCCATAGCTTGGCAGTCCCGAGTCAGATAGTGGTGATTCCACATGCAGAAGCAAATTTAAGGTGACAACGAGATACTCGCCGCCCGGGCTTCCTTTCCTTGGCTAATGTTTCATTCCTTCTTCGGGGCTGCAGAGCGACGAGCTCATCCTCGGTCCCTAAGGAGCCTCGCAGCTCTGCTCCAAGGCTGGACGCACGCGCTCCCCTCCGTCAGGC